ATCGTCGTAAATTTACGACGGTTTTACGACGAGTACACTATTTCGTCGTAAAAGCGTCGTAATGCCTAAATCCAAGAATTTGAATCTTTTATATCTTATTGGTTGTAAGGTATTTCACAATTGTTTTTGATTGGTTATCTTATTTTATATGAAATGCTATCAATCTGATCAAAATCAAAAATTTGAAAAAAAACATACATATTTACAAGTTCATGCATGTTTTCGTAAATGTTAAGTGAAAGGTTATATATTAGATTACGGAATTTCATTTTTTTACTATCTCATGTCATAAATCCATCATACATGCAAAGTTGTAAACCTTTTATTATATGTTAGGATACAATAACCTTTGCATTGTTCTTTATGCAATATCCCATTTATAAGATTTAGGGTTTACTCACTTTTTTAAAAAAACATCGTAAAACCGTCGTAATATACGACGGTTTTACGACGACTAAACCCAAAACAGTCGTAAAACCGTCGTAACGTTTGCACCGGATATGCTCTTGATCCGAGGTACGAGGTTATAAATGTTTAGACATTACGACGATTTTACGACGGTTTAGGGTTAAGTCGTCGTAAAACCGTCGTAACGGTCAAATGCTCCCATCACGACACGTGTCATGTCATGCAGTGGACCGACTGTTCTACAACCAAATCGTCGTAAAACCGTCGTAAAGTTACGACGATTTTACAACGATCACAAAATCTATATAAGGGACGCGAGATTTCCCCTTTTCGTCGCTCATTCCTCTCTTCTCCCCTCTCTCTCTACAATACTTTCTCTCTCTAATCCTTAAACCACTCCTCTCTCCCTACTCTCACAGCCAAAAGTTGTAAGTTTTTTTTTAAATTAATTTCATTACATATTATTTTAGATTTAGGTTCGGAATTTAGATTTAGGTTTGGAATTTAGATTTAGGTTTCGGAATTTAGATAGGCCCGGATTTTGTAAATTTTAATAAATATTTGAAAAATTAGTAACAAATTTTTTAAAATTTTGTAGATTCTGTCTCGATGGCTCCTTGGGCTAAGAGATTTCACTACCGACAGCTCGTCGATTCTGACGGTACGGCCCCGTCTACCTCGGCGACCGGATCAGCCATCCCGGAGTCCTCGGGAACACAACGGACGGTTTCCCAACCGGTCGTTGTTCCACAGCCGGCACCGCCTCCACCACCACCAGCCGAACCAGCGGCTCCCGCACAGGCCGAGCCTGAGGCTGATCCGATCCCGCCTGTACCGTATGCCCAGTTTACGGTACAGGATCTTCTGGCGCAACCCGGTCGTGGGACCATGAACAAACTCGACCCGGATCGAGCCCCCAGCACCTATTGGTACGTAATTTTTTTCCTACAATATTTTTAAATTAATTAATATTTATTCTTATATATTTGATATTAATTTACTTTTTCTCTTTCCATTTGACTAGGTTTACGACCGATAATGCAGTCGGTCGTAACGTTGCGGATATCATCAAGGGGTTTTTCGTACAACCCCATACCGGCTGGAAGAAGCTGGATCAGGCCACACTTGACACTTGGTTCAAGTATTTTGCGGTAAGTAATTTACCATTTCGTTTAATTTTAATTTTAAATTTTAACTTTTTACAATAATTACTAACTTCTTTTTTTTTTCTAGCAAAACTGGCATTGGGAAACATTTGCACACGGACGTGTGGAGACGGCCTTCAAGGAGAAGGTCAAATTCCGCCTCAACAACACCGTTTCCGACTGGAAACGGAAGTAGGAGGTTGACGGCGACAAGGCCAAGCCGGCGCCTATGTCCAATACCGTCTGGCGGGGCCTTGTCTAGTACTGGTTGGATCCGCACAATCAGACTACGGCCGCCAAGTGTTCCGGATCTAGGTAAGTCGTAGTTAATTTCAATAATATTTACATTATTTTTTTTCTTATAATAGATTCTAATCAAAATATTTTTCAGGAACGCTACTGACGATGCAGAAAATCGGAAGAACGTCCCGCACACTTCCGGCCAGATTCCTTTTGCCGGAAGACGCCTTATGATGGTAAGTAAATTAAAATTATTATTTTTTTTGTTTTCAAATAATTAACTCTTATTTCTTGATACTAATTAATTTTTTCATTTTGATTTTGTAGGTCGAAGATAACGGAGGAAAATTTCCTCCGATGACGAAGGTTTTCGCCGAGACGCATAAAAAGCGTAACGGCGAATTCACGGATCCTCGGGCGGAGGAGATCTACAACGCCGCCTGTGCGGCGATCGAGGAGCGACAGACGCAGCTGACTCAGCAGGCGCGTCAAACGTCTCCCGGAGGTAGCTCGGTCCAATCGACCCCGGCGCTGACGGTGGCGGAGATGGACCAGATCTTCGAAAAGGTAATTTTAATTACTATATTTAATTAATGTAACTTTAGTTTTAAATTATATTTCTAACCATAATGTTTTTAAATATTTGTAGGTTGCCCCAAAGAAAAAGGGGCGGGTATTAGGGATGGGGTCTATCCGTGATACCCCGAGAGCTACGGCGACTGGTCACGTCCGGGTCCCGGATCCGGTTATCCGCCAGGAGATCGATCAGATGCGGACCCGGTACGAGACGAGGATCGACCAGCTCTACGGTCTCTTCGAGATCATGAGAGCCGATAACCCGGTACTCATGGCGCAGTTGGACAAGCTGCGGGCTGATGGGGTTGTCGGATCGTCTGCCGCCGGGTCATCCACTAGGACGCAACCGCCGGTGCAGACGGACGAGGAGATGTTCCGATCTCTCGGGGTTGAGCCTCCTAGAGCCGGAGATCAGGCGCCGGCGGAAGCATCAAACCGAAGACCCAGCAAGGAACACGTCCAGGACGATGGGGAGGAGGCCGGTGACGGGATCGACGGGATCGATTTAGATTTAGATTTAGATATGTAGGGTTTTTTTTGTAAATTACAATTAATTTTAATTTCAAATTTTCATAAATTTTAAATTATAAATTATTTTTTTATTTAAATTTTAATTCGAATTATTTTTTTTTTAAATTTTCAATTATATTAAACGACGTATAATCGTCGTAATAGATTTATTAAAACCGTCGTACATTCATCGTAAATATTACGACAAATTTACGACTACAATGTACGACGATAAATACGACGATTATACGTCCGAGAATTACGACGATTTTACGACGCAATGAAGAAATACTTTACGATTGATTTACGACGATTTATGCGTCGTACATTTTACGACAATCTTACGTCGACAATTAACGACCACTTAACGACGGTCCAGGCGAAGACCAAGTCGACGCAATTCGATGTAAACTCGTCGTAAACTGTACGACGCATTTACGACGATTTTGTTTCCCTCGACGTTACGACAAAACAAAACCGTCGTATATTATACGACGATTTTATGACGTTTTGTCTATTACGACGATGACTTTACGACGATTTCGAAATCGTCGGTAGTCCGTCGTAATGGCCCTATTACGACGAAATAACGACCATTTCGACCGTTGTAAAATGATGTTTTTCTTGTAGTGTTTGTTACTCCCTTGGAGCTATTACCTTTTGAAGCAATACGTTGAAAAAACACATATAGAGAAGAAGCTAAAGGAGCAGAGATAGGGTGTCCTCGTATGTGTAAGACGAAGTTCAGACCATTCAATCTTAAAGGCTTTTCTTTGTCGGAACTCGACATAACACTCGGTGATACCAAAGATATCCAAAGTATTTGCAACCATCTCTTGATGAGGAAGATATGTTAGCTGGTATCATGGAAGGGTATGAAGACCCAGATTTCGTTGATATAATTTCTGAAAATTTGACAAGGCGTATAATTGAAGATAGAAAGCCGATATTCTGGAAGAATATGAGCTTGAACGATGTAACTAATCGAGATGAACCAGCGAAGAATGTCTCCTCTAGCTCCGATTGGAATTCTGGACCAGATTGAAGGGTTGAAGAAGAGTATGGATGATCAGTTGCGACAAATGAGAGACCTCATCAATAGCATTGATATAAGATTGAAGTCTGTTGGATCTTATGTGAAAGAGACAATTCCAAAAGAAGGTCAAGGAGAAGAGAAATAAGGAGAAGAACAAGGTGAAGAGGAATAAGGAGAAGAAGGAGAAGCAGAAGAAAAGAGTGAAGAAGTGGGAGATGAGGTGGCAGAGAAGGAGAACGAGAAGGAAAAGAAGAAGAAGAAGAAGACGAAGCCAGTGATTATTAGGACATATCTAACCAGAAGACGTACTGGGATACATGTATTTTATAGTTATTTCAAATGTAGTTGTATTATTTGGTACTCATAGGTAAAACTATGGTGTATCACAATTGAACATCTCATATCTGTGTTACCATGTAGGAACAACAACCTAGCACTTCAGTCGAGGAAGAGGAGTGCAGCATGAGAGGAGGAAGATGAAGAAGAGTTAAACCCATGTCCCCTCTATGTTGCTGTCAATTCAAATTTATTTTGTCAATAAATATGACTGTTGTAGTTGGTGTGTTTATGTACCTTTTACGTTGTGTATTATTTGAGGATTTAACTTATTTTGGGAAACTTGGTTTGTTTATACTGGTAAGCGGTTAAAATTGGTTTAAATTTGGATTCATTTTAATTTATTTAATTATGCGGTTAGATTGGTAAGCGGTTTAAATCTGGTTCTTTTTAATTTATTGAATTGGTATGTAATTAAAATGTAAATTAATGTAGTTTAGGTTGTTAGGTAACTGTCTAGTCGTTTGAATTAAAAACAAAATTATAAAACAACATGAGTAGAAATGACATCATAACTTACGTGTGCTCTGTTTAATCAATTGTGGTCAGACGAGGTAGTTGTACCAGTCATACATAATACACATAATTGATAACATGAGTCAACACAATTAATGCAATTACTTTATGCACTGTCTCACTTCTTCTTCTTAAATAGAACTCTCTCGCCTTCTCATTCTCATTTCACCACACCATCTAAGAAAAAGAAACCCTAAACTCTTACCTTTCTCATTTCCTTCTCCTTCTCCCCAATGGCGTATAACGAACCAAGGGCACCAAAGGCTCTATGGTGGATCTGTCAATACCTCTGCGACCTCGAGCGAAACCTGTTGCAGATTTACTCCATTGGGGTGGAGGCAACCATCTCAGGTCTGCTGGATACTACCTACAAAGGGGGTATCTTCACTCTTTGCATCCACTTCCCGCCGGAGTTCCCTCTGAAGCTACCGAAGGTGCACTTCAGGACTCCAATCTTCCACCCCAACGTGAGTCACCGCGACAACATATTCCACCCCATGCTGATGCCGGAGACGTGGTGCATCACGACATCAGTGGCCCAGATGATGATGACTCTGGCCACAATGCTCATTCATCCGCTGGTGGATGAGGGCGACATGGTGATGTACTGGGAAGATAGGGTCCGCTTCGAGGAACACACTCGTAGCTGGACCCAGATCTACACCATGGATTGACGATGCAAAATGAAAAAAACCAAAATATTTTTAATTATGTTATTTTCTTTTTTTTTGTTATTTGAAATTTTTGTTTATTATGTAATTATTTTCACAAAATTTTGGTGTTAGAAACGATAAAATAGGAACAATCTAGATAGAACCCCAAAATATGGAACATGATAGTCTCTAAGATAAGAAAATAACCCTAAAATATGGTAGTCTCTGAAAACGAAAAAAGCCCTAAAAGAGAAACCTTAGTTAAACTATTTGATAAAAATTCGTATAAAACTTTGTATAAACTTCGTATAAATTTGATTCATGTAGGATTAAGTTTTAGATAAGACTTGGTAGTTGAACCAGTCTTACATTGAGAATCAATTCATCTTAATCGTGAGTCGACGCATTTATTTACTCCATTTATAACGTCATCAAGCACCGCCTCTCTTATCCTTAAATACCCCACTCTCCTTCTCATTTTATCAAAGCACTATTTCCTTCTCTTTTCGTCAGAAACCCTAATTTTCATTAACTCTCTATACAAACAAAACTCTCACAAAATGACGACTCCACGAGAATCCATGACACTCTTCCATATCCGAAGGTCCCTCAAGGACCTTGAAGACCACCCCTCTCCCTTCTACAACGCCGGTGTGAAGGACGACGACATATACGAGTGGACAGCCACCATTATCGGGCCGAAGAATACTCCCTATGAAGGAGGTGTTTTCTCTCTCGGCATCCACTTCGATCCAGGATTTTCGCTTAAGGCACCGTCGATGCACTTCAAGGCACCAATCTTCCACCCAAACGCCAGCCACCTGGGCAACATCTTTCACCCAATGCTGGTGTACGACACGTGGTGCCTGATGACGACAGTGTGTCAGATGTTAATGATGATTCACGACATGCTGATTCATCTGCGGATCGAGGAGAAGGATGTTGTGAGGGAGGATGTCGAGGATATGTTTCCCTATGACAGGGTCCGCTTCGATGAACACGCTTGGAGGTGGATCCAATTGCATGCCATGTGGTAAAGCTTGTCGATTAGTTTCTTGTTTCTCTTGTCGTCACTATAGCTCGAGTCCATAGTCGTCATGACAAAGATTCAGAAAAGAAAGAACAAAATTTAGAAGAAAGAGAAAATTAATAGAAATATGAATAGAAAGGGGATAATATTTTGAAAAAGAAAAAGTGTGGGGAAGTTCAAATTTTTCTGAAATTGAGGAATTGAGGGGAAATTCAAAAACTAAATTTTCTGAAACAAATATAATATTATTTAACTATTACGTATAATACAGTCTCACGTGCCGGCACCAAAAGTTAATGTCCAATAACGCATGGACACATGTCAATTCTTCGGAGGTTTGATACATTTTTGTACATAGTATGTCAGTTATACAAACTCTCAAGTAGTTGTATTTTTGCGATTTTAAGCAAAAAATTAGTAACACCTCTATTAAATATGCAATTTTGTAGTTGTACTTTTCCGTAATAGCAATTAATTTACTGTCCAACATTTTTATGTAACCAAATTTCGTGTTTTACTTTTTACGTAATGTTCGATACCTTATATGGTTACTCATCGTGAAGTCTTCATAGAACTATGATGTGTTTTATGAGAAAAGTTTGTTTGAAGTTCAAATATTGTAAATTTGCATATTTTATCTAGTTTAAATGTTAATCATAATATAACTATGCAAATAATTTACGAGAATGTCATCGATTGCTGAAATTATTGTATAATTCAACATTTTCATGCTATAATTTAACAGTTTCATGTTTTTGTAATTTGATATTGGTTTATCAAACCGATAAATACCGATACCGATAACCTAAAGAAATGATCTATGTCTGAAAAAAGTATGTCCTCTTATTTTGTCTTATTATGTCAGCCTACATTTATATTCTGAAAGAGTAGAAAGTAGCTGAGACGTGTCTATTTCTCAAGGAAGCTCCTTTTCCGATGAAATGAAACAGAACATTCTCTCTTGTTTCCTAGAATTATTAAGAAAACATTAGACACATATCAATTTCTTTATTTTAACACGAAAGAACAAACAAACCCTAAACCCAGATCTTAACATAGTTGTACCAAGTTATTCATACAATTACAAATTAAGATTGTTCACTCTCCTGAGTATTACCCTGCACATTCTCCTCATGATTACTGGCATTAAAATAGGGATTACAGCCTCCACCCTGAGTATTAACCTGCCTATTTACGCTTATTACTTGTCATTGGGCCACGCTCTCCAACTGAAGCAAATCTTCTTTGCTGCCTTCTTCCCTTCTTTTTCTCGTACGCAGGTGGTTTTGGGGAAGTTATCTTTTTGATATCATCTGGAATTACCCATTGTGAACGATGAGGAACAGGTATACCGTCCTGGAATATGCAAGTGTCCACAATTCAGTAGTATAATATTTCGAGCACAATTCATGCGTGTGGATGTCCTCACTTCTATTTTCTCTGGCCATAAAAATCCTCACTGCGGCAACTGCATGGACACAAGGATACTTATCTATATCAAAACGCTTTCATGAGCAAGATTTACTTTTCAAGTTTACCAGATAAGTCTTCCCATCTCTACCGACCACAGCGTATTCAAGCAGAAACAAGTTCAGCTCAGTCACATCTAGGGTCGCCGCAGCTTCAACAGTTTTGTGTAATACATTTTTGACAAATAGAACTAGTTTATGTGCTTCAGGTGCTGTTGCACACTCCTTCCTATGTTTGTTACACCACTCAGATACCTTTTCTACAGTGGCATCCATCATACGTAATAAAGCATACTTCCGCGCATCATCAAACACACTGTTCATAGACTCTACACAATTACTAGTGTCGATGTTGTACCTTTCACCCAGAAAATAGCACATAGCCCATTTTTTCTCATGCAAACTATCATACAAATACTTAGTTGCATCTGGATACCTTTCTCCCAGTTGACCGTAAGCCTCAAGAAACTCAGCCTCTGTATACTTCCTTACACATTCCATGAACTTGCCTACAACTAAGTCTTTCTCTCTCCGAACGCTCGCTTTCACATTCTGGGGCAAATGATATATGCAAAAACCATGTTTAGCTTGTGGGTACACCTCCCTTATTGCCTTGATCAGACTTTGATTCCTGTCCAAAACAAACACCAATTCATAAATGTCAGGTATCACGGTTTTAAGGTTACTGAAGAACCACTTCCAACTATCATTCTTTTCCCCATCAACTACCCCAAAAGAAATGGGATAATGGTGATGATTCGAATCCTAAGCTGTTGCAAATACAAGGCATCCACCAAATGCATTCTTCAAAAAAAATTGCATCAACAATGATCACTTTCCTCATTGCCAGAAACTCTTCAATGATAGGACCCAAAGCGACGATTTTGTACTCGGATTCATCTGTTCTAGCATGTAAAAATACGAATGCAGATGCTCGTAACTCTCTTCTAGAGTACCACAAACATAACTTATAGCTTTCTGTCTGCCTTTCTATGCCGTAGAATGTGACACATCCACACGACCTTTTGTTTGAACCAAAATCATAAGAATTTTAGGAGTTGGTGGTTTTAATTGACCTGGGTAATTTTTACTAACAACTTCTGCAATTAATCTTGGTGTGCCTTTCCTTCGTTTGCTGCTTGTACACGAAGAAGCCCAACAACAAGAATGCATTTTCCTATATATTGTAATCGTGAAAATATTTGAATTCATTGTTTTAGCGGCATTTATATACCAGTTACATCCAGCTTCAGCTTCACTGCATTTCACATAGTATCGGCTCTTATCAGACTTGTGTACAATGATTCCAACACAATGCTTATGAGAAGTTCTGTAAATTAAATCTATTAGATCCTGCTTACAGCTAAACTCTTCACTTACTCTCAGACTCATACCATCTTCTTCTTCACGTTCAAAACGTTGTTCTTCTACACATGCTGGAGGCTCAACAATATCAAGCATTCAATATTTTTGACTTGTGTTATCTTCATCTCCACCGTTATCCTCACTCTCACGAGATAACTTCACACTATCATCATTCTCCATCACTGGATCATGATGTTGTTCTTCTGTTTTCTGTGTAAATAACAAGGACACCATCAGTAAATTCAGCATTGCGGTCCGGAAATACTCCATCACTCGCTAAATCATTAATTAGCTGTGCTCAACTCCCTGATATTTACATCAACTGGACTTACCTTCTCTACACGTGAAACTTGCTCGGCCACCTCAAATACTCCAACTACATTGATGACCTCTACATGCAAGAAACTTCTGCGTCCCTCTTTATCGAATGATGTCAGATAGACACTGAGATTATCTTCATCAAAAATATAAAACTGTTTCTTCGTTTGCACTACTACTGAAATATAACTCAGTTTCAACTTTGTCGACGATTCCCCTATTCCAACCTTCCTTCATATCCTACCCACTAAATCAGAATAGTTTATCTCCTCTAAGCTTAATGTCTTAAACATTATACCGTACATGGAACATTTTCTTGAAATTCATTTATCCTTGGTACGTGAATAATGTCCTCTATAATCAAAGAGTATGTTTGTTATCATTATGTTCTGAAATAAAAACATAAACACTGCATATCAACTTAACTCATTAGTACCACTTGTTCCCAGTTATACAAAAAATCTCAGTATTACCAAATTGTTTAAGTTATCCTCAATCCACAAATTTGGTGTAGAACTAAAATCTACTTACGATTAAACCTCAACAGTCCATTAATAGCATATGTCCATAGGAAAATGATTTTTCCCAATTTTGAATTGCCTTATTTTGTAAATCAAAATTATATTCTAACCCAATTGTTCCTGAGCAACATCGAATCAAATACATCTACTAATTAATGACTTCTCAATAAAATACAGAGGCCAAGGAAGAAGAATAACTTACCTCATGCTTGGACGTTTGAATGGAAGTGAAAAAGCTTTGTCGAATTGAAGTGGAAGAGATGTTGCAAACCCAGTTTTCTGATTTAATTTGTCAAATACCCCGAAATGAAATAATAATACCAGAATCGGCCTGATTTTTGATTAGCTGAAATTATGGTCCGAAATGTTTTTATTGGCTGAAATCTCCTTATTTTCTATTGGTCGACATTTCTTGCCACAAAATACTTGATTGGCTGAACTTTTTCAAATTCTCATTAGTTAATTATTCATTTTTGTTATTCACTGAATGTTAAAGGTAATATGGCGATAACACATTTTCTTAAAAGAGAAGGGAGATCACCACCACAATTTTTAATTGGATGAATTCTCTCAAATTCTCATTGGCCGATTATTCATTTTTGTTATTCACCAAAATTAAAAGTAACATGGAGATAATACATTTCATTAAAAGAGAGGGAGATCACCACTGGCAAAAGAAAATAACTTTACCACGCTAGGTTATTTTCTCACCGTAAACTGGTAGATGAGAATTTTACCTTTGTTTGGCTCGGTTAATTCGGGCTTCATCGCTTCAATAATCTTGTTACGTTCAAATTTTGGAAAATTTTATATGGCTCCGTTTATTTAAAATCATTTTGTAGGTCTGCTCTTAGGAGTTGCTTTTAAAAATTGATATTTTGTGTCGAAAATAATCAGCTTTATTTTAAATGTTTTAGTATACTTATCGTTGAATATTCATGAACCAAAAACCAAAATGTAAAATTAGAAGAAGCGTAGATTAAAAACAAAAAAGAAAAAAAAAAGAAGAGGAAAACGTAAAAGGTTTTAAAAAAACCAAAGTATGTGTGGGGCGTTTCACTGCAGGGTCTCGCCTTGCCTAATCTTTGTTTTTGGGCTTGATTGCCGTGTTGAAGAGGTGATGATACGGTGCTGATTTGGGGCTGCGACGAGGAAGTTTATGCGTATCCTTTTTATATGGTTTTGGAGGAGTTAGTAAGGATGGTGCATTGTGGTGATCCTAGGCTCTGTGCTAGCTAACATCGGTAAGGATCTTGATAGAGTGAATGTGTGCATCAAGACTGCATAGGTTAGTGTAGTTCAATAGTAGTTCTGGTTCTAGGATATGTTGGATG